GGTTTTTTGGACACCATTTATATATTTTTTTATGTTTGAAATTATTTTGTTACTTATTTTGCTGCATTGGGTCTTAGTTGTGGCAGGAGGCATCCATCTTCCTTTACAATGCAGGGGCTCTCTAGTTGTGGCTTAGTTGCTCTGAAGCATGAGGGATCTTAATTCCCTCACCAGGGATGGAACTGGAGTCCCCTGCATGCTTAGGCAGATTCCTAACCACGGGACCACCAGGGAAGTCCCTGCTATTATTTTAAAATATTCTTTTATAAGAAAAAGCTCATAACAGTTTTATTTAGAGATACATTTCTGGACATATTAAAAGCCTATGAAAATTTGAGGTCTAAATGAGATTTATTGCACTAACAGTGAGAAGATTAATTTTTACCCTACTGAATTTTGCATATTTGGAACAGCTTAGCATAACACAGAGAATGGTTCTAGCAATATTTTTCTTAAATAGAGGTGAAATTCACATGACTTGAATTAATGATTTTAAAGCATACAGTCCTACTCAGCCATAACAAAATATCGAAATAATGCCATTTGCAGTAACATAGATGGGCCTAGAGATAGTCACATTGAGTGAGGTAAGTCAGACAGAGAGATACAAATATCATATGATATTGCTTATATGTGGAATCTAAAAAAGAGTACAAATGAACTTATCTACAAAATAGAAAGAGTTACAGATGTAGAAAATAAACTTACAGTTACTGGGGGTAAGAGGGGAAGGGATAAATCAGAGGATTGGGATGGACATATACACATTAGTATTAACATTTATAAAATATCTAATAAGACCTGTATAATACAGGGAACTCTACTTAACCCACTTAATGGCCTATTAAATAAAAGATAAAAGAATTAAAAATTTAGGTATCAGTAGAAATGGTTCTTGACACAAATTGGAAAAAAAAGTATACAGTCCATTGTCATTCAGTATATTCATGATGTTGTTCAACCACTATCTAGCAATAACCTTTCTGCCTTTAAAGATATTTAACATTTTCACTTTAAAATTTGCACAAATGCTTTTTAAAAACTAAGAGTCAACAGTTAAGAAAAAACAGCAAAACAGCTCAAATTACAATCTGCTATACTTTCCTTTCTAATTAGCTCCTTATACACACATGCAGGCACATGCACACATGCACAGAAGAATGCTTGAATATTCAACTATCATAGAATGCAGTTTTCCAACAGATCCTAATACTTCATTCATCGTTAGCCATCTTGGACCTAGGACTGGCTGCCAATATACAGATAAGTCGAATCCTCTGACAGCCACTGAGGAAGATGATGACTATAAGATTTGTGTAATCGAGGAAACTGCCTGCAGTTCATTTATGCCAGTCAATTACTGAAACAAACACTACAGACTTTACTTAACTTACTCTGAATATCGATGTACCCCTAGCTCTCAGTGGAAAGTGTGGGTCATTTCCTTGGTTCAACCTTGTATGTGATCATCATCATTATTGACATTTAGTACAACCAAGTGGGCAAAGCTATGAAGAGGTAAATTCAGTTCCTACTAAACTGTTTCTTCTCTTTATCCCCTCTGTTTTCCCTGATTTGGGAATCATTGAAGCTATCTCATTTTCACCTTGCAGTTCAGTGTTGCCTTCTGGGTGTGCCTGTCTTGAGAAGACTCCACATGTGGGCCACCCTCAGTCACTGACCCTAAATCACTCAGTTCTGGGCATGTCTCTGGTTCCTGCTGAAGTTCCTCCAAGTATCTGATCAAGATTTGGTCTCTATTAGAAAACTTATTTCTCCACTTGTTGCTGGTCAAAATCTTGGCTTTCTCTACCCACCGAAGCCAAATAAAAAATGCAGAGAGAGAGTTTGGAGGAAATAGAAAGGTGCCTTTATCCTCAGCTGGGGGAGAGGGGAACACAGTAGGATTATGCCTCAAGAACTGTGCCCCCCCATTTCCATGAGGAGTCTTGATGTTCAGTCACTAAGCCATGTCCAACTCTTTGTGGCCCCATAGACTGCAGCATGACTGGGTTTCCTTGTCCTTCACTATCTCTTGGAGCTTGCTCAAACTCACGACATTGAGTCAGTGATGCCATCCAACCATCTCATCCTGTCGTCCCCTTCGCCTCCTGCCCTCCATCTTTCCCAGCATCTGGGTCTTCCAATGAGTCATCTCTTTCCATCAGGTGACCAAAGTGTTGGAGCTTTAGCTTCAGCATCATGTCCTTTCAATGAATATTCAGGGTTGATTTCCTCTCTGTATGAGGAGTCTAGGGACTGATACAAGATGAAGGCTCAAAGCCAGGGGTCGGTGATAAGGAGCAAAAGCATTAGGACCTCATATTCTTCCTTTTGCAATGTTTCAAAAACAGTCATTGGCTGGCCTCCAGTAGCCTCTGACAGTCTGGTATCCCGGTAGTTAGATCCATTGTCTTTTGTTTATTGTACTGTGGCCTTCTTTCTGATTTGTAAAAAGAGAAAAGGGGCAGTCTGTGAAGAGAGTGCTGCAAAGGTGAGCACCAGCTACAGGATGTAATTAGCATAGAGTCAAAGGATGATAGGTACAAAATGGCTTAAGGGGCAGAAAAGCACACTTAGTTACAGATAGGCAGAGTCAGGGGGCAGAAAAGCAAGCTTAGTTACAGACTACTGATTAGGAACTGTTAAAGTAAAAACTAGGAATGTTCAGGTCTGCTCACTGTTCTCAAGAAAGGGAAAGAAAAACTCATTCCTCTGTTTTCCTTTCCACTGCAACAGTCTCAGTAGTGGTTTAACATTGACATAAAAGCCACTGATATAGGGCTCCATAAACCCATTCTATGAAGTGGTATGAAGAGGAATTGTATTGTGTCAGAGGTTCCGGTTTTTCTTTCTTTTTTTTTTTTTGAGGGTCCAGTTTTGAAAAAGAAATGGTTTGATGAAAGCCCCCAGTGGTGTTAGTATCTTCTTCCAGTCTTGCTCTGGACTGAAATCCATTTGTGACATTATCACAATCTTTATTTTCTAAGGGATGGCTGCTTTTTTTTTTTTTAAACTTGACAGTCTAGTGTGATGCTTGGATAGTGTTATCAGCCTTCAACTGTTGATGCTTTTTTGTTGTTCAGTCGCTCAGTCATGTCTCTTTTCGACCCTATGGACTGCAGCACACCTCGCTTCCCTGTCCTTCATCTCCTGGAGCTTGCTCAAACTCATGTCCATTGAGTTGGTGATGCCATCCAAACATCTCATCCTCTATCGTTCCCTTCTCCTCCTGCCATCCATCTTTCCCAGCATCAGGGCCTTGTCCAATGAGTCAGTCTTTGAATCAGGTGGCCAAAGTATTGGAGCTTCAGCTTCAGCATCAATCCTTAGAATGAATATTCAGGGTTGATTTCCTTTAGGATTGACTGGTTTGATCTCCCTGCCCTCCAAGGGGACTTTTAAGAGTTTTCTCCAGTTTGAAAGCATCAATTCTTCACCAGTCAGACTTCTTTATGGTCAGACTCTCATGTCATCCATCCTGTATGGTCATCCATGACTACTGAAAAAACCATAGCTTTGACTATAGGGATCTTTGTCTGCAAAGTGATGTTTCTGCTTTTTGAGAGCTGCCCAAGTAGAGAATAAAGAGAGAGCTGAGTTACTTGAATTAGGTTGCCTTTGAAGACCAGGTACTGTTGGTCTTCTCTCACCACTGTTGTACTATCCTAGACTGGACACACTCCAGGTTTTTTTTTTTTTTTTAAACCAAATCCTGAGGAGCTGGCAATACTCTCCTCTTCCTCCTGAAAAGCAGAGACTGGCTGCCGGGAAATGGACGCAGGAGGACCTGCCATCACTTTTCACAAGGTTGTTGCTGCATCCAATTCTTCTAAACCTTTAGTGGGTAGAGGTAGCCAGGGTGCAGCCTTGGATGGTCTGGCTTCAGGGTAAGGCTATGGAGGAGTAGGCTCCAAGCCTGTGTTTTGGTAAGCTTAGCATCACCTTTCCATGAAAATAATTCACTCTATCTCTATTGAACAGTTACATCTCGCATGTCTTTTATTTTAATTTATTTTTATTAGTTGGAGGCTAATTACTTTACAATATTGTAGTGGTTTTTGCCATACATTGACTCACGTCTTTTTTAACCAGAAATTTGTAGAACCACAGCTCCATTCATTTTGATTGGAAATTAGTTCTCAGACTCCAGCCAGTCAGAAGAGACGGCTAATCATCTTTTGCTTTATCTACTACACATACATGGGATTAGGATCCTTTTACTGCAAAAGCGTCATCTTCACCTACATGTGCGTTTGTGCTCAGTCGCTTCAGTCCTGTCTGACTCTGCGACCCCATGAATTGTAGCCCGCCAGGCTCCTCTGTCCATGGGATTCTCCAGGCAAGAATACTGCAGTGGGTTGCCATGCGAGGATGGAACCCTGCGTCTCTTGTCTCCTGCATTGTCAGGCGGGTTCTTTACCACCAGCGCCAAGGCCTGGGAAGCCCTTTATTACAGGTTGACTGTAACCAGGGCCTTTTACGTTAATACTTATTTTTCAGGTATACAGTTTTGTAAATCACTTAGATTTATTACAGTGTTTAGTTTTGAAATGTAAAGACTACTTGCAAAACCTTTTTGTTTTTACGTTTCCTTGCTACTGTAATGACAGTCACTATTTACAGAAGGGTGTCTTTAAAAAGTTACTTAGGAATAAAAAAAATACAGTTACTTAGGAATAAAGCTGAGTCAATTTAAAGAAAGTATTAATTACACCATAACACAAGTGGTTTGCTGATAAAACAAAACTAAGGACATTGTGGAGGCCGAACTTGGAAAATAGGTTGCGCAGGGATGAACGAGCCGGAGCGAGAAGGCTACGGAAGCCGGGAATGTCAAGAAATTGGAAGAAAAGATGGCCCCGCCTCCCGAAGCGCGGCGCACTGCGCAGGCGCGGCGGCGCCCTTCTGGAGCGCAGTGCTCACTGCGCACGCGCGGCCGTCGGCGTGGTCCCCATGGAGCTGCTTTAGCAGACCCGGCGACGCCGCTAGCTTCCGAGATGAGCACTGCCGAGGCCGACCGCTGGGCGTGGCTGCTGGTGCTCAGCTTCGTGTTTGGGTGCAATGTGCTCAGGATCCTCCTCCCGTCTTTCTCCTTCTTCGTAAGTGGCTCCCTGGCCCTCCAGGGACCGGTGGGGTCGCAGCTTCGGTCCTCGGCCAGCCGGCGGTGGACATAGGAGTCTCCAGCTGGCCGCCTGAGGGCCGGATTCAGCCTGCTGAGGCGTCTCGGTTGGGCTGTTCTGTGTTCTAAGATGTTTTTGAGTGTGCTAGCATTTGAGTACGAAGCCTTACCCCTAAATCTGGATTTCTGGATTCTCGGAGAGAAAAACAAACTATGATAACCTGCCCACACTTGGCCAAGTTTTCACATGGCAGCAGCCCTAAGCCTGGAGTGCTCAGTGCCTTTCTGCCCGCCTCCCCCCTCATTTCCGTTATCCTCTGGCCCCGAAGGCGGAGAGCAGCCTTCGGGTGCTGAGGGCCAGTGCCCGCAGCTCGGCAGCCGGCAGCCGGGGCTCCGGGAGGTCCCGCCTTTTCGTGTGCAGTGTATTGGTCCAGGTCCCAGGGGACGGGTCTCAGGGTGCAGGGGCCCCCATTCTTGGGGCGGGAGGGGTTGGAGACAGCACAGACAGAGAATCTCAGTAGTCTTCGTGTTGTTTCCCGTACCCAGAGGAGCCACGGCCACCTGGGAGCCCTTTGCGGGGCGTTTTGCCCATCATGAGTACAGTTCCTCGTGTTCAGTCGCCAGGACTGCCGTCGCTGTCATCCTGTCTTCCTCTACCTCCCAGGGGAGGTGTCTGGCCCAGAGTCTAGTAGTTGTATTAAGTCATCCGGCTGGTGACTGATGGCTGTAGAGTTGATCTTTGGTTTGTGATTCTCCAAGGTCTGCCCTTCTGGAGCATGAATGTGGATGGGGGTGGGTGGCACATTTGATGGGAGGTGTGTGTGGGAAACGTAGGCAGCTGTTCCCCGGGGAAGGGCGCCCTCTGTATGCCCACAGTGGGACTGAGGAGCTGTCTGACTCAGACCCAGACCTCAAAGGTGGGGGGGCGGGGGCGGGAGGAGGCACCACACTGTAGCAGTATCCTGGGAACTCAGCTCTGCTGTTCTCTCCTGATATAAATCTGCGGCGGCGGTGATGGTCGGGTATTTAAAGCTAGACAAGATTTCTACTTCTTTTTCTTTTACTCTACCCTGGGAAAGACCCTGATGCTGGGAAAGATTGAGGGCTGGAGGAGAAGGGGGCGACAGAGGATGAGATGGTTGGATGGCATCACCGATTCGATGGATGTGAGTTTGAGCAAGCTCCAAGAGATAGTGAAGGACAGGGAAGCCTGGCGTGCTGCAGTCCATGGGGTCGCAAAGAATCGGACACGACTGAGCGACTGAACAACAACTGGTATCCACTGAGTGCCTGTTTTATGTAAAACTCTATTCTAGGACCTTACCACCCAAATTGCCCTGTGTGTGTGCTAAGTCGCTTCAGTCGTGTCTGTCTTTTTGTGACCCCATGGACTGTAGCCCACCTAGCTCCTCTGTCCCTGGGATTCTCCAGGCAAGAATACTGGAGTGGTGGTGGTCATCTCCTCCTCCAGGGGATCTTCCTGACCCAGGGAACGAACCTGCATCTCTTCTGTCTCTTGCTTTGGCAGGTGGGTTCTTTACCACTAGCACCACCTTGCCGTGAGGCATGGGGATTTCTGTCTTAATCCCATCCCCCATTCAGAATTTTTCCTGATGCTGCCTTGTCTTTAAGATGATGTCCCATGTACTTAGCATTGCATAAAATACCCTCGAAACACAGGCCCTTGTCCACTTTTCTTTCATTTGATTTTTTAAAAACTTGTGGTAAAATATGCATAGCATGAGATTGAGCACTATTTTTAGGCACACAGTTCAGTGGCACTGAGTCTGTTCACATCATGTGCAGCTGTCACCACCGTCCAGCTCCAGAACACCTGCAGCTTCCTAAACAGAGACTCTCTCCCCACTGAACAGGGCGAGTCAGCCCCTTGCCGCTTTCTCCAGTGCCTGGCAGCCACCAGCCTACTTTCTGTCTCTCTGAGTTTGACTCTTCTAGGCACCTCGTATAAGTGAAGTCATATTTTTCTGTCTTACATTTCATGTCCTTTTCTGTCTGGTTTATTTCTTTACTCAGCATAATGTCTTTAGAGTTCATCCCTGTTGTAGCCTGTGTTCGGATTTCCTTCTTTTTTAAGGCCAAATAATATTCTGTTGTATGTGGAGTAGGAAATGGGAACCCACTCCAGTATCCCTTCATGGAAGATTTCATGGACAGAGAAGCCTGGTAGGCTATAGTCCATGGGGTCACAAAGTGTTGGACACGACAGAGTGACTGAGCATGCACTTAACATATATACTGCATTTTATTTGTTACTCATATTTTGATGGACATTTGGGTTGTTTCCACCTTTTGGCTGTTGTGAGTAATGCTGTTGGAACGTATTTGAATCTGCTTTCGCGTCTCTTGGGTAAATATCCAGAAGTGGAATTGCTGGATCATACAGTAATTCTATTTTTATTTTTTTTGAGAAACTGCCATACTGTTTTCCACAGCAGCTACATCATTTAAATTCTCATCATTTCAATTTCTCCACATTCTCCATCACTTGTAATTTTTTTCTTTTTGGATAATAGCCATTCTAATGGATGCTGACTGGCTTATCTTCACTTTCCTAATGATAAGTGATGTTGAATACCATCTCATGTGTATATTGGCCATCAGTATATGGAAAATGTCTATACTGATCCGTGGCCTTTTTTTGGGCCATGCCACATGGCTTGTGGGATTTTGGTTCCCTGACTAGGGGTCGAACCTGGATCCTCAGCCCTCTCAGTGAGAGCTAGTGAGTGGAGTGCTAACTGCCGGACCATCAGAATTCCTTGTGGGCCATTTTTTAATGGGGTTTCAGGAGCTGTCCCTAGGAGAAGGGCACCCTCTGCAGGAGCACCTCCAGAGTAAGGGGCTATGTTTTCAGAGTTGAATTAGGAGGTGGCTCAGACAGGGCTTCCCTCCTAGTTTAGTCAGTAAAGAATCTGCCTGCGGTGCAGGAGACCCGGGTTCAATCCCTGGGTCGGGAAGATCCCCTGGAGAAGGAAATGGCTACTAACTCCAGTATTCTTGCCACGGGGTCACAAAGAATTGGATACAACTGAGAGACTAACATTTTCACGAGAAGTTCCTTATATAGTCTGGATACTAACTCCTTATTAAATATATGACTTGCAGGTTTTTCTCCCATTTTGTGTGTTGCCTGGCACACCTATAGAATCACCTAGATTCTCCCGACGTACCCCATCTCTTTCCACCTTGTGTTGGCTGCTGCTGCATAGTCGCTTCAGTTGTGTTCGACTCTGTGTAACCCTGTGGGCTGCAGCTTGCTAGGCTCCTCTGTCCATGGGATTCTCCAGGCAAGAATACTGGAGTGGGTTGTCATGCTCTCCTCCAGGGGATCTTCCCCACCCAGGGCTCAAACCTCGTATTAGAATCACACACAAAACTAACCTCAATTGTTAAAAGAGGCTGTTGGTTTTGTATTCCTCAGTGAATTGTTCCTGGGCTTCCCAGGTGGCTCAGTGGTAAGGAATCCACCTGCAGTGCAGGAGATGTGAATTTTTTTAAAATTAATTTATTTTTTAATTGAAGGATAATTGCTTTACAGAATTTTGCTGTTTGCTGTCAAACCTCAACATGAATCAGCCATAGGTATACATATATCCCCTCCCTTTTGAAACTCCCTCCCATCTCCCTCCCCATCCCACCCCTCTAGGTTGATACAGAGCCCCTGTTTGAGTTTCCTGAGCCATACAGCAAATTCCCATTGGCTATCTGTTTTACACATGGTAATGTAAGTTTCTGTGTTACTTTCTCCATACATCTCACCCTCTCCTCCCCTCTCCCCATGTCCATAAGTCTGTTCTCTATGTCTGTTTCTCCATTGCTGCCCTGCAAATAAATTCTTCACTACCATTTTTCTAGATTCCGTATACATGCATTAGTATATGATGTTTATCTTTCTCTTTCTGACTTACTTCGCTCCATATAATAGGCTCTAGGTTCATCCACCTCATCAGAACTGACTCAAATGCATTCCTTTTTATGGCTGAGTAATATTCCATTGTGCATATGTACCACACCTTCTTTATCCGTTCATCTGTCAGTGGACATCTAGGTTACTTCCATGTTCTAGCTATTGTAAATAGTGATGCAATGAACAATGGGATGCATGTGTCTTTTGTCTTTTTCAATTTTGGTTTCCTCAGGGTATATGCCTAGGAGTGGGATTGCTGGGTCATATGGTGGTTTTATTCCTAGTTTTTTAAGGAATCTTCATATTGTCTTCCATAGTGGCTGTATCAACTTACATTCTGACCAACAGTGCAAGAGAGCTCCCTTTTCTCCACACCCTCTCCAGCATTTATTGTTTGTAGACTTTTTGATGATGGCCATTCTGACTGTGTGAGGTGATATCTCATTGCAGTTTTGGTTTGCATTTCTCTAATAATGAGCGATGTTGAGCATCTTTTCACGTGTTTATTAGCCATCTGTGTGTCTTCTTTGGAGAAATATCTGTTTAGGTCTTTTTCCCACTTTTTGATTGGGTTGTTTGTCTTTCAGCAGATGCAAGTTTGATCCCTAAGTCAGGAAGGTCCACTGGAGATGGAAATTGTAACCCACCCCAGTGTTCTTGCCTGGGAAATCCCATAGACAGAGGATCCTGGCGGGCTACAGTCCATGGGGTCGAAAAAGAGTAGGACACAACTTAGCGACTAAACAAACACAAAAATAACAGCTGTAAATAAGACCTGTCATCATCTCCAGCTCCTTCCCCAAGCGTATACTAAACCTAAGCCCTGCAGCTACCTCATTCTCATAAGAAATTATTGCTGCAGTCTGCACATGCATGAGGCTTGGCCTTATCAGGTGGCTGTTTGTCATTCAGGTGAAAGATCTTGGGTTTGTCCTTGGACCCAGGTCATATCCTTTTGCTGCATCCTGCTGCTGTATAGCTTCTCTAATCTCAAGCCAGTTGTTGTCGTTCAGTCGCTAAGTTGTGTCTGAGTGTTTTCAGCCCCACGAACTGTAGCACACCAGGCTTCTCTGTCCTTCACCATCTCCTGGAGTTTGCTCAAACTCTTGTCCATTGAGTCGATGATGCCATCCAACCATCTCATCCTGTGTTGCTTCCTTTTCCTGCCCTCAATCTCATCAGTCTTTTCCAGTGAGTTGGCTCTTTGCATCAGGTGGCGAAAGAATTGGAGCTTCAGCGTCAGCATCGGTTCTTCCAATGAATATTTAAGGTTGATTTCCTTTAGGATTGCAGTCCAAGGGACTCTCAAGAGTCTTCTCCAACACCACAGTTCAAAAGCATCAATTCTTTGGTGTTCAGCCTTCTTTATGGTCCAGCTCTCTTATCCACATATGACTACTGGAAAAGCCATAGCTTGACTATGAGGACCTTTGTCGGCAAAGTGATGTCTCTGCTTTTTAATGTGCTGTCTAGGTTTTTCATAGCTTTTCTTCCAAGCAGCAAGCGTCTTAATTTCATGGCTGCAGTCACCATCTGCAGCGATTTTGGGGCCCACGAAAATGAAATCTGTCACTGCTTCCTCTTTTCCCCCTTCTGTTTGCCCTGAAGTGGTGAATCAGGAGGGTAACCACCACAACAAAGAATATCCCTGTGACTTCTGAAAGTCCTTTTCCCCACCCAGCAGTTTTCTTGATGTACAAAGTTTAAGCAGAATCTATGAACTCCTTCCTCTTACCAGGTAGTTGGGCACATTCCTGTGTTCTTCTCTAGGTTGGATCTGGCCGGAGTGTATGTTCTTTAGTTAGAGTGTAGGGCAGAGGTCGGTCCAGAGCAGAGAGGACAAGACGAACAGAGTGGAGCCCCCCCGCTGCAGGTTGAAGGCCTGCAGGAGGCTACGCAGTGGTAAACACGGTGTGCTGCGGCGCGGGCGCCCCCTGGTGACCGAAGGGCCTCATTACTCCGGTGCCGGAAAGGGCCCTGGTGGGGCGTTGAGGGGAGGGGCGCGTCTGCGCGCCTGGAACTGGAGAGTCACCCCACTGTGTGCCGGGCAGCGGGCAGCGGGGCTAGACGTACAGACTCAATTATTGTGCACCTGCTATGTTCCAGTACACTGAAATATGTTAATATATTTTAAAAAATGGAAACAAACACAGATGTGCAGAAAAGTTCAATAGAAAGAACTGGTTTTGTTTTCTGAGCCATTTGAAAGTAAGTTGTCAACTTGAACACCCTCTTTCTCTTTCCTCGATACTTTTGTGTATAAACAGAGGCCTTGTCCAGAGCCCAGATGTTAGGTAGGATCCTCCTGTCCCGTTCAGGGTTCTCTGTCCTGATGAGGTTCTTCCGAGCAGAAGGACCCTAGTCAGCATCGTGTGAAGCACATACTTGTCACGCCCCTCTTCTGGAAGGAGCCTTGGTCCTGCCCTGACTTGTGCGGCTGACATTCCCGGGGATCGCGGGGCATTGGTGTTGCACGGTGGCGTTCTGTGGATGTCTCCGTCCGATGTTGGCGGGTTTGTCACATGAAGGATGCTGTGTTTCATTACATCTCATCAGGTGCTGTGGGCATGGATTTGGGGGTGTACATGCATCACTCGGGGCCAATCCCGAGGGATGCTCAGTCCCCTAGGAGGTCGCCCCTGGACCTCTGTGCGCCAGTGTGAGAGTGGTCCCCTCTCTCTCCCCTCACTCTCCTGGGACGCTCACTCGTCCTGGTGGGTTTGGCACCACCTGGCAGCCACTGCCATCTGGAGTCCGGGCCGCTGGCGTTCCCGGCAGGTTTGTGTGTGTGTGTTGGGGCGTGGTGCTGGGAAGGGCGCCAGGGGTGGCGAGAGTGGGTCCCCTCCACTATCTGGGTGCTAGGAACACCTTGGGGAGGGCGCCTGGGCTAGCTGCTTCCCCTGGGGACCCTGGCTGTGCAGGGTGTATCCTTTGCAAACGTTTATGTCTGTTATTTCCTCTGTGTATCTGGAAACTCACGTGTCTCCAATTTTAATCTACCCCTGCAGGACTCATTCTAGTTCTCTACGGATTTGTATTTCTCACTCCCTTTTCTAACAGTGAGGACACTGCTACCATTATCCTCAGTAGGTTTACTTGACTAGCTCAATGCTTTGTAAATGATCCTCGGTCTCCAGCACCATCCCATCCCTCTCTGGGGCTCTGACACCATGATAGGCTGGGTTGCTTCTTCCTGTCATGTATGCTTATGTATGCCCCCCTCACCTGCTCATGCCAGGCAGCTCCTCTGTAGGAGTGCTGTCTTCACCAGCCACCACTTCATCCCTGACACCCAGCATCCACCTTTACCCTAATTGAGGACAGAATTGAATTCTTAAGGGTGGGAAGAGGATGCGGGATCCTTGCTGCCTGAGTGCAGCTCTGAGGGTGGAATCAGTGTTCACTCTATAATCACAGTTTTACAGTAAAATTGAAGGCTGTGTACACTTGTGCTGTAGCAGTGGAAGGAAAGGCATAGTTGTCAGGAGACTTGCCTGCAAGGAGTCTTTATCTGTGCGGTGATTGTGGGCAGCATGCCCAGGACATGCAGCAGAGCTAGGCTGTGGCGGTAAAGGGCAGCTCGCCCAGGGGCAGGAGGCAGCAAGCCCATAGGATGGAGGAGGAGGCGGGTGACAAGGCCCTGACCCCGCTGTTTCCTTTCCCAGATGTCCCGGGTGCTGCAGAAGGATGCAGAGCAGGAGTCCCAGATGCGAGCCGAGATCCAGGGCATGAAGCAGGAGCTCTCCACCGTCAACATGATGGATGAGTTCGCCAGATATGCCAGGCTGGAGAGGAGGATCAACAAGATGACGGATAAACTCAAAACTCATGGTACTGTGCTCAGCTGTAGCCTGGAAAGCTTTGTGAGAGCTGATTCACAGAGAAGCCTTTATATGAAGATGCATAGTGTACACCCTTTGAGCTTCAGTGTTCTGATGTTGATGGAGAGTTTTAAGTTGTCTGGAAGAGACCCGACAATAATTCTTATTTTCTTCTTAGTTTGCTGGTGAACCTTTGCTTTCTAAACACAGAAACCTGGGAATTCCCTGGTGGTCCAGTGGTTAGGACTCTGTGCTTTCACTGCCAGGGTCCCACGTTCCGTCGCTGGTCCGGAAACTAAGATCACGCAAGCCTCGCGGTGTGGCCAAAAATTTTTTTTTAAAAAATCAAAAAACCAAACAAAAAAACCCACACAGAAAGCTCTAACATCCTGTTAGATTTTCTTCATTCTCTGTAGGCTGATATTCTCAAATTCACTTTTCTCAGAGAAGCCCAGGAAAATCTTCTAGTGAATTTTCAAGGGCTTTTGTGAACACTCTCTAAGAATTGCCTAGGAGTCTCCTTATCTGAGTGTTGACTTCAGGGTGGGGATCAAGTCTTACTCAGCCACTGTTCCTAACTCTCTCATGGGATGGAGAGGAGGTCAGCCTGCCTGCCAAGAGTGTGCGTGGCTTGTAAAACACGCCGAGGGGGCCTCCCCAGGCCTGAGACGAATTAGACTATGGATTAGTGTCCTGTGTGGGCTGGGAAGTCTGGAAAGAAAGTATGGTTCTGTTGGTTAAGTGTGTTGTAAAATGAATCTCTGATTTAGATGAATAGTTTTAAGAGTTCTTAAAATTAAAGCTTCATATCTTATAATCTGTGTGTGATTTTATTTTAAATAATGGTATAGTGGATGATTTTTAAATTCCATTTTATATTTTCTAAGTGTGTTGAGCAGATGTTGCAATACATAGTTAGAAAATATTTAATGAGAGGAAAAAACATTTCTGTGTTCTTGAATATTTTCTTCATTTTTTTTTGTTAGGACTGATATCATTTGTTTTTCCTTTCAGTGAAAGCACGGACAGCTCAGTTGGCCAAGATAAAATGGGTTGTAAGTGTTGCCTTCTACATATTGCAAGTAAGTGTCCTGTCGTGTCACCTGGGGTCTTTGAAGTCCTCCAAAACCATGTGACCCAGAATCCAGGCCTGGGACTTCAGGCTTTCCCACTTTCAGCCGCTGGCTGGTCCTGCTAGTGTGCGACTCTGAACACTGAATTTTTATTAGACTTAAAAAAAAACCCCTTTCTTCCTCTTAGTCTCCTTTAGCTTTTCTTTTTGTTGTTGTTGTTCAGTCACTAAGTTGTGTCTGACTCTTTGCAACCCCATGGACTGCAGCATGCCAGGCTTCCCTGTCCTTTACTATTTTACAGAGTTTGTTCAAACTCATGTCCATTGAGTCAGTGATGCCATCCAACCGTCTTATCCTCTTCCGTCCTCCTCCTGCCTTCAGTCTTTCCCAGCGTCAGGGTCTTTTCCAGTGAGTCAGCTCTTCACATCAGGTGACCCAAGTACTGGAGTTTCAGCTTCAGCATCAGTCCTTCCGGTGAATATTCAGGGTTGTTTTCTTTAAGGTTGACTGGTGGTTTGATCTCCTTGCTGTCCAAGGGACTGTCAAGAATCTTCTCCAGCACTACAGTTGGAAAACATCAATTCTTCAGCGCTCCACCTTCTTTATGGTCCAACTTTCATTATCTGTACCTGACTACTGGAAAACCATAGCTTTAATTATACAGACCTTTGTCAGCAAAGTGATGCCTCTGCTTTTTAATATGCTGTCTAGGTTTGTCATAGCTTTTCTTTCCAGGAGCAAGCATCTTTTAATTTCGTGGCTGCAGTCACCATCCGCAGTGATTCTGGAGCCCAAGAAAATAAAATCTGTCGCTCTTTCCACTTTTTCTGCATGTATTTGCCATGAAGTGATGGGACAAGATGCCATGATCTTAGTTTTTTGAATATTGAGTTTCAAGCTAGCATTTTCACTCTCCTCTTTTACCCTCATCAAGAAGCTCCTTAGTTCCTCTTTGCTTTCTGCCATTAGAGTGGTGTCATCTGCATATCTGAGGTTGTTGATATTTCTCCTGGCTATCCCCTCCAGTATTCTTGCCTGGAGAATTCCATGGACAGAGGAACCTGGAGGGCTACAGTTCATGGGATCTGTAGTCAGACGTGACTGAGCTTTTCTCTTTAAGAGTTGTTAAGCATTGGAATTTTTTTAGCACATGAGCTTCTCTGGAGTTCTTTCATGTTGCAGTGTTGGGAGCCTGCGGGATCAAGTCAGAGAGCTTATTATTTTTTCATCTTCCTATTTGCTTTTATTTATTTTTTTATTGACAGATAATTACAGTGTTGTGGTGGTCTCTGCCATACATCAGTGCAAATCAGTCATAATTATATAAATATATCTTCTTCCTTTTGAGCCTCCATTCCACCCCTCTAGGTCATCACAGAGTCCCACACTGGGCTCCTTGGGCTACATAGCAGCTCCTCACTAGCTGTCTGTTTTACACATGATAGTGTATCTATGTCAGTGCTGCTCTCTCTTTTCCACCCTCTTGTTCCCCTGCTGTGTTTACCAGTCCTTGCTCTGTGTCTGAATCTTCATTTCTTCTCTGTAATAGGTTCATCAGTACTATTTTTCTAGATTCCACATACATGCGTTAATATTTGATATTTATTTTTCTCTTTCTGACTTACTTCGTATCACAGGCTCTAGGTTCATCCACCTCACTACAACTGACTCAAATTCGTTCCTTTTTATGGCTGAATAATATTTCATTGTGTATATGAACCACCGCTTCTTTATTCCATTCATCTGTCGATCGACATCTAGGTTGCTTCCATGTCCTGGCTGTTGTAAACAGTACTGCAGTGAACATTGGCGTGTGTGTGTGTCTTTCTGAATTGTGGTTTCTCCGAGTATATGCCCAGTAGTGGGATTGCTGAGTCATATGGTAGTTTTATTCCTAGTCTCCAAACTGTTCTCCCTAGTGGCTGTACCAATTTACATTTGCACCAGCAGTGCAGTAGGGTTCCATTTTCTCTACATCCTCTCCAGCATTTATTGTCTGTTGCTACTGTTGTTTAGTCACCAAGTCGTGTTTATTGCCAAGTCTTTTGCGACCCCGTGGACTGGAGCCCGCCAGACTCCTCTGTCCATGGAATTTTCCAGGCAGGAACACTGGCATGGGTAGCCATTTCCTTCTCCAGGGGATCTGACTGAGGGATCAGATTTGCGCTTCCTGCATTGACTGGCAGATTGTTTACCGTCTGAGCCACCCAGGGAAGCCCTTTATTGTTTGCAGTTGATAGCTTACTTAGACGTTATATTTTCTAACGTGGTCAGTGATGTGGTGGTTGCTTGTCACGCGTGTAGATGACGAGTAGCTGTCTGTTCCAGTCAGGGGACACCATATTCTCACCCACGTCCAGCACCATTGCTTCCCAACTTTCTCACCTGGTGGATTTTTCCTTGTTTCATTTCTTGCCTCGGCTCCTCTCCATCTACCCTGAGGTTGTGGATGTGCTGCACAAGAGGCTGGAAGCTGCTCCAAGTGCTCTCCGAGTGTCGGTGCTGGGAGCCCTGTCTCCACAGTCCCAGTGGTCTGGGGCGTGTGAGGACTCTGATCCTAGGGCAGTGTCACTTTGCTACAAGAGAGGTGTCAGAGGGGCAGGAGTTGCAAGAGCCACTGTCTTAGGTCTGGTCACCTGGGTGGCATTTTCAAGACCATGGAGAGGACGGAGGACAGCTGATAGAACACTGCTGGGAAAGGAGGAGCCGCTGAACTTCACAGAGGGCTGACTGCTGCGCTTGGTTTGGGGATGGGAGGACTAGCTAGTTTTCTCAAGGGTACGAGAAGCATCACTTTTGTCACCAACGAGGTGTATTTAGCATAAGCTGGCAACTTCGAGGAGTTGCTTAATGGGAAGAGAACACGTACACTGTGGGAGACCTTGGATAATGTATCCGCTAACTTAACCATGTGTGTGGATTGTGAGGACTGGATTGGCCGGGTGTGAGGTCACTGATTGGGAGGGTTTCCTTAGTTTGTCTTCCTGTTTCCTTGCCTTCCGTGGTGGTGGGTCGTGTGACGGGCAGGGTGTCTCCGCAGGCCGCCCTGATGGTCTCGCTCATCTGGAAGTATTACTCTGTCCCTGTGGCTGTGGTGCCAAGCAAGTGGATAACTCCCCTGGACCGCCTGGTAGCGTTTCCTACGAGAGTCGCAGGTGAGAGGGTTCTGGCAAGTGTGGTCGGGAGTGTGGCAGGGGGCGTGGCGGGGCGCGTGGCGGGGCGTGGTCGGGGAGTGTGGCAGGGGGCGTGGTGGGGCGTGGTCGGGGAGTGTGGCAGGGGGCGTGGCGGGCGTGGCGGGGGCGCGTGGCGGGGCGTGGCGTGGCGTGGCGTGGCGTGGCGTGGCTGAGGCTGACGTGGGGCGTGTGCAGTCAGATGACCTCACTCTGCGCCTGGGGTGAGTAGTGCTGTGTCCGCCCCTCCCACGAGGCTTGCAGCGAAGAAGCCAACACCAGGAGAATTTACTTAGCTAGTCCAGCATGACCGAACTGTGGATTAGCAGAGCTGTAATTCAACCCAAGCCTGCCTCTGCAGTCCAAGGCCAATACCATGGTCTGATACCCGTTTATTGAAACACCACTTCTAATTCCCAGATTCAGTGGCTCCTTTTGAGTTCACACTATGCTTAGTCCCTCAGCATTTCCTGCTGTTGGCCATTCTTTCACTTTTGAAAGAATTTTTTTCGGATGTTAAAATCAGTCCATGTCATGGGAGTCCCCTGGCAGTCCAGTGATTAGGAATCTGTGCTTCCACTACTTGGGGCTCAGGTTCAATCCCTGGCTGGGAAACTAAGGCGTGGCATGGCCAAAAAAAGAAAAATTAGTGAATGTGTTTGTAGAATGAATAGAAATATCAGAAAAAAATTTTTTTAAAGACTCATAGCTATGAATATCCCTCTTAACATTGTGGTGTATTTTTTCCAGTCTTCTTTCCTATACATTTTTATACAGTAAAGGTTATCAGGCACATACGAGCTTTTACCCTTCCTATTATTTAAGCCTTTCCCCGCATTGGGCTTCCTAGTGGCTCAGACAGTAAAGAATCTGCCTGCAGTATGGGAGACCTGGGTTTGATCCCTGGTTTGGGAAGATCCCCTGGAGAAGGGAATGGCCACCCACTCCAATATTCTGGCCTGGAGAATTTCGTGGACTGTATAGTCCATGGGGTCACAAAGGGTTGGACACAACTGAGTGACTTTCACTTTCCACATGATTCAATTTCTTCACATTAGGAGACTGAAATGCTGCTGATTATGCTGAGAGGGCAGCTTACTAAATTTCTTTTTATTTTTTTACTGCTATGTTTATTCATTGAAAAGAAGTACATATAAAACTGTACACATCTGAACATTCAGCTACACATATAGAAGGACGATGGGCCAGTCTGCTTACAACCTGTCTATAGAATTTGGTCATTTGATGTGCTTTTCCTTACTGTTTCTCCTTCAATCTTCTTTCTTTTTTTTTCCATTTATTTTTATTAGTTGGAGGCTAATTACAATATTGTAGTGGTTTTTGCCATACATTGACATGAATCAGCCATGGTACTAAATTTCTTTATGAAGGAACTTTGAGTAGCTGTTCTTCATTTAGCTGTGTTATAATTTATTAATTTCCCTGCTAAAGGACATTTGTTTGAGTCCTGATTGTTGCTGTGGAGTGGCCGCTGTAGGACACGTGCTGCTCGGCCAGTCTCTGGCTATGATTTGTGGTCACACTGGAGGTGAATTACTGCATCAGCTTAGCCAACCCCCTTCCTTCCCCTCCTCTTTCCCCTTTCTGGTTTCAACCAGGAGGGCACGGCCGGTGATTCTCAGTGGTCCTGAGCCAAGGAGCTAAGAGGCCACCCTTCCAGGCATCTTGTGGCCTGCCATCCTGTCTCAGCCATCAGTGGGGCAGGGAAGGCCTGGGTAAACATTGCTCCGTGTTTGTAACGCTTTTGTGAGAAAGGAAAGACAAGTGGTCTGAGAGGGTGGTCCTACAGTCAGTTAATATCATAAATAATGATGCACAGCTCTCAGGCAGGAGAGAGAAATGCAAATCATTGTTTATTCTTCTGAATAATTCCTGCAGGTCCGTGAATCAGTAGAAAGCATGATCAGTGTGAACCCACAGAACACAAACTTAGACCTAGCCCAGCATGACTCAGAGAGGACTGGCGTGCTCCATTTCCCAGAAGTCAAAGGCAGCAGGGGCAGGAAATGTGGGTGGCACTCCTGCATGCTCTCATGTTGAATTTCTTTGTTTTTAGGTGGTGTTGGAATTACCTGTTGGATTTTAGTCTGTAACAAGGTCGTGGCTATTGTGCTTCACCCTTTTAGCTGAAAATGAAGATGAATTCAACTACAGCACTTTCAAAAATGAATTTTCACTTGGGAGGTTACAAGTCTGCTTTATACTTTTTTTTTTTTCTTTAAAGAAACACAAAGCCACAGATTAGCTGTTGTTGAACAGGTTTGTTCTTGGACTTCATGTTGAGATTCTTAGAAGAATCACAATTTTCTATACTTGTCATGGGCCGTGAAGGTCAGTCTCACACGTGTGCACTGGCCACCGTGGCACCAGATGTGTGCTGAGAAGTATGTGACGTTATGGGCTACACATTGGTACTTGTGATCTGCACGCGTGACATGTTTTAAAGGTCATCTTGCCAACTGGAAAGTCAGACTTTTCTAATAACGTAAGTGCTTTAAAAAGTTGGAGCTATTTTTAATCCCGATTACCAAGTAGCTTAATTTTAATACCACTACTAGACTTTGAAAATTTGTGTTTTAGTTTCATGCAGTAGTACTGGGAGAGTAACACTGACAGTGCTCTTTTCTTCTTCTGTTTCAAATGTCATTTGTTGGGCAAACCTTCAGATATTGTCTACTTATTTGAAGCGAATGTTTCATTGCTGTTTTATAAATGTATACATGAACCCATAATGCATTGTTTTATGCTTAAACTGTGTGTTTTATAAAGTATTTCCAATGAAGGGTATTTTTTAAAGCATATGATTTTTATGCTCTGTAGAGTGGAACAAAGTTAAAAAACAAACTATGACCCCTGATTAAATTCCTTTGAATGACTGACTGCGTGTTTGCCCCATCAAGTACAGTTCTGCTAAATATTTTTTAAAACACCTTTTTCTAATTAAAATTTTTGCAAGCGCGTGTGTGACTTCGTTCCTTAGGGCCACTTTTTGCTACTACTGATCTGTGTTGGGAGCTTGCACCAATCACTTAGTGGGACTCAGCCCTGTAAAGCCAAATTCTAGCATGAGTTTTTAAGTTATTTATTTATTTGAATTGAAGTATAATCACTTTACGATGTTGTGTTAGTTTCTGTTGTACAACAGCGTGAGTCAGCCATCTGTAGACATGTTTCCCTCCTCCTTGGGCCTCCCTCCCACCCTCCTGTCGCTGCCCTCTAGGCGCTGAGCCGAGCGCCCCGTGCTGCCCGGCAGCGCCCACTGGCTGCTGTACACGTGGTGATGTGTGTACGTCATTGCTACCCTGTCTGTCCCACTCTCTCCTTCCTGCTGTGTCCACAGGCCCATTCTCTACACATGTGTCTCTGCTCCTGCCCTATGGGTAGGTTCATCGGTACCCTTTTTCTGGATTCTGTATATATGTGTTAATCTGTGATACTTGTTTTTCTCCTTCTGACTTCACGCTGTATGACAGACTCTAGGTCCATCCACAGCACTGCAAATGACCCAGTTTTTTTCCTTTTTATGGCTGAATACTCCATTATATATATGTACCACATCTTCCCTATCACGTCCTCTGTCTTCTATGTTGCTTTCATGTAGCGTGAGTTTCAAAAAATCATGTGAGTGTCCTTGTACTCCCTGATGCTGTGATGAGTAAGCTCGTTATTATTTCTGCTGATCATGCTATGAAGAGACCAAGCACTGTGTTGCTTCAGCCGGGCATCACTAGAGCGGGTTTCAGGTTCCTCTCAGACTCACTCAGCCCCGGGCTGCCCCAGCTCTGGGAGACGATGCAGAACGGGCAAGACAGCCGTGCTTATGGCCAACACCAGTGTCCACTGTCTGGTCACCTCACAGGGTGTGTTTCAGCCGCAGGGGATGAGCTGCTGACCTCGTCCTCATCAGTGGAGGGGATTACAGCAGCACACGGAAGCTGTGGGGTCTCGGGCCCCCTGGAAGCCACATGCCCAGTGATTTTATGAGCTGCAGGCGTAAATGGCAGGTGGCACAGTCCACAGTCGTGTGGCCAGGTACCCACCCCAAGCCCATCCTGGGATCACTAACCCATGAACGTCTCCTGGGCTAGACCCTCATTTCTCTGCTAAGGATATAGTCTTTCTGCACGCATTTTGACAAATTTCACTGAGGCTAGAAGAAAAGGTTTATAATTCACAGCTGTTCCCTTTTTCCACATACATTAATAGTTTGTGAAGATTAAATAGGGGGTATTTAAATGTCTGTATGTTTCACATCCTTGTGATTTTTGAAAAGTGGTGGTTTTTAAAAAAATATTAATAGTAAATGTGGGACTGAATTCAAAAGATACAAAAAGATGTGATAAAAGTACATCTTCTAAGCTTCTGCTGTCAGGTCACTCAGTTTTCCAGAGTTGTCACTGCTACCAGTTTCTTCCAGTGATATTTCATACCTTTATGAAAATTGATACATGTGCTTTTAAAATAACTTTTTAAAAGTAACACCAAAAAAACTCTCCACAAAAAGTTTTATTTATTTTTTTAAAATCCTAGCTGGAAAGTACAGAAAAGGAACTAGCAAGCGAAGTCTCCCGAGATTCCACAGAACTGGGACAGTGGTGTTACTGTTTGAGCTTTTCCTTTCTTTCTAAAATTTTGTGGATAGCTTTAGGTTTTGTGCTCCTATTAAAAATTACTGGATGTGGTTTATAGCTTCACATGAAAATAGACATCTGTCTGATTTAAAATACATCTAAAGTGGGACTTCCCTGGCAATCCAGTGGTTAGGATTCTGTGCTTTCACTGCCAGGCCAGGGTTTGTTCCTTGGTGGGCGAACAAAGATCCCACAAGCTGCAGAATGCAGCCAAAAAAAAAATAAAATTCTAAAGTTCTCTTCATACCAGTTTGGTTTGCTCTAGATTTATGATAGATCAAGCAGGGAAATCTTTTTAGATACAAATAAATACAAATCATTTTTGTACGTGGAAAGTGAAAGGTGAGAGTGAAAAAGTTGGCTTAAATCTCAACATTCAGAAAACTAAGATGGCATCTGGTCCCATCACTTCATGGGAAATAGATGGGGAGACAGTGGAAACAGTGTCAGACTTTATTTTTTGGGGCTCCAAAATCGCTGCAGATGGTGACTGCAGCCATAAAATTAAAAGACGCTTACTCCTTGGAAGGAAAGTTATGACCAACCTATAGCATATTAAAAAGCAGAGACATTACTTTGCTAACAAAGGTCCGTCTGGTCAAGGCTATGGTTTTTCCAGTGGTCATGTATGGATGTGAGAGTTGGACTGTGAAGAAAGCTGAGTGCCAAAAAACTGATGCTTTTGAACTGTGGTGTTGGAGAAGACTCTTGAGAGTCCCTTGGACTGCAAGGAGATCCAACCAGTCCATCCTAAAGGAGATCAGTCCTGGGTGTTCATTGGAAGGATTGATGCTGAAGCTGAAACTCCAGTACTTTGACCACCTGATGGGAAGGACTGACTCATTGGAAAAGACCCTGGTGCTGGGAGGGATTGGGGGCAGGAGGAGAAGGGGATGACAGAGGATGAGATGGCTGGATGGCATCACCGACTTAATGGGCATGGGTTTGGGTAGACTCCGGGAGTTGGTGATGAACAGGGAGGCCTGGTGTGCTGCAATTCATGGGTTCACAAAGAGCTGGACATGACTGAGCGACTGAACTGAACTGAACTGAACAGAATACAGTCTGTTACTGGCACAGATGGGTGGAATGCTACCTCAGCTAGTTTACTCTTCCTTAACATGGCCAGACTGTTTGGCCTCCCATGATTTTTCTTATACACAGGTCTGTGGGGGCTGTGTGTGTGTGTGTGTGTGTGTGTGTGTGTGGTGTGTATCTGTGTGTGTGCACATGCAAGTGTGTGTGATGCCTCTTCTGTCCAATCTATATTTTGTGTGCTAAGTTACTTCGGTTGTGTCTGACTCTTTCGCAACCCTATGGACTGTAGCCCATAGGAGGGCTACATGGTTCCTCTGTCCATGGGTTTCTCTGGGCAAGAATACTGGAGAGGGTTGCCATGCCCTCCTCCAGGGGATCTTCTGAACCCCAGGATCGAACCCCCTGTCTGTCTCCTGTTTATATTTTAATGGGCCTTGAAGATTATTTGTGAAGCTTTTTCTGACCACTTTAGATGATAGTGATTTCTTTTTTCTTCCCCTCCTTGTCTGAACATCTGAAGTAGTGTCAGTATGACTGATCTGTCATCAAATTTTGTATTGACTTGTGATATCTGCTATTGTGTGTTTTTATTCCTAACGTTTGGTGGTGGTTTAGTTGATAAGTCCTGTCTGACATTTTTGCGACCCCGTGGACTGTAGCCTGCCAGGCTCCTCTGTCCATGGGATTTTCCAGGCCAGAATATTGGAGTGGTTTGCCATTTCCTTCTCCAGGGGATCTTCCTAACCCAGGGATTGAATCCCAGTCTCCTGCATTGCAGGCAGATTCTTTACCATCTGAGCCACCAGGGAAGTCTGATTCCTAGTGTTTAGATACTTCTTTTGTGATAAAGGGTTTTCCTTCTGTTGATGCTGTAAGTGCCTTCAGGGCCAGAGACTGTTCCTTAGGCTTTTTTATACCCCTCCCAGCACGTTGTAAGTCAAAACCCAGGAATATTTAACTTAAAAAAAAACAAAACTGCACCAAATAATGGTTTTCACCTAGGGCCATGTACACCTTTTCAACAAGTATATCTTCACAGTTTTGAGCTGTCACCAATCAGAAGTTGGGGAACTTCCTTGGGTGCTGTTCTGTTACAAGTTCATGGCGGAGCCTTTTGGTGGTGTCAGCAGATCCACAGCTCTGGTGTGTTTTCACCCCATGTGGATCCTGGGACACACGGCTTGTTTTCTCTCTGGGTTCACTATTCTTTTCCTTTTGGGGGTGGGGGGCGGTGTGCACACCGTGCTGCCTGTTGGGTCTTAGCATGTTGGGCCAGGGGTCAAACCTCGGCTCCGTGCAGCGGAAGTGTGGACTCTTAACCACTGGCCCTCCAGGGAAGTCCCAGGTTCACCATTCTTGTTTGTGTGTGTCGGCTTTGCTGCCTGCGTGTTTGGATCGTAAAGTGTATGCATCCCTCTTTCAGTATGGAGAGTACTGACTCTTGCTGTTGAGTCCAGCCTT